ACAAATCGAAACTAGAGGATAGAACAGTTATAAGCAAGTAGTAACATGAACTAGAAATCCACAGATCTAAAATGCTAGTGGGAAATATTAGTAAACCTCTTAGAAACTGATCCATCAAAAATAAGATCAGGGGTCGGCTGAGTGGCTCAGTTGGTTAAGAGCACAAGCTCTGAGCAACAGGGTTGCCGGTTCTATTCCCACATGGGCCAGTGAGCTGCATCAGAGCTGAGCTGCCACTGAGTTGCCAACAGGTGGCAGGATGGCTCAGCTGGGAGAGCATGTGCACCTAACAACAAGGTTGCCGGTTCAACTCGCACATGCACGGGATGGTGGGCTAAGCCCATCCACAACTAAGATTGAACATGGCACCGTGAGCTGCCGACAGGCAGCCAGATGGCGATTGGACTTGGAGCTGAGCTAGCTGCACCCTCCACAACTAAGATTGAAAGACAACAACTCGGCTGTTCCCCTTCCCCAATTCCCCAGCACTGTTCCCCTTCCCCAATTCCCCAATAAAATCTTTCAAAAAAAATAAGGAAAATAGTAGGTATTTGAAAAACAAAGTAAGAGGTTTAGAAAAACGTGAACCATATAATCAAGTGAATAAATATGCTAGGTCAATAAATAAAAAAGCTACTTCTTTTGACAGAACAGTAGCTCTGCTGAAGAAAAAGGAAAAGAGTAAAAGCAAAAGAGAAAACAAGGTATGATACAGATTTTTAAAATACTGTATGCAACTTTCTATGAGTACATTTTTTAAAAGCTAGATCAAATAGCCAGGTTTTCAAGAAGATGTAAATTATGAAAGTTGGTCAAAAGAAACATAATGGCTGAATACACTAATTCCTACTGGGGAAAACGTATCTCTACAATATAGAAGAATTATAACAAATTTCTATGAATAGATAATCCCAGTTTATAGAAACGATTCCAAAGCACACAAAAAACAAGTCTTCTTAATTCTTTATTTGAGGCCAGCATAAATCTCAGACTAAAATTGAACAAGAATAGTGAAAAATGGAAAAGCACATGAAAATCACATATAATTTTAAATTCCTAGGTAAAATTGCAGTAAATTAAATACATCAGCCCATTAAAAGAATAACATTATGACCAGTACTGTTTATTACAAAAATTGTTTTATTCAATATTAGCAAATCTAATGGTGTAATTCATTATATTAATGGGTTAATATATTATCATCTCTACAGATGAATGAAATGCATTTTATAAAATGCAATGTGTATATTCATCAAATCTCAAAGTAAAAACTAGATATACCATGAAATATATTTATACCTACAGTAAATGTTATATATAATGGTGAAATATACAAAACCTTTCTACGATGGCCAGAAACAATAAAATGCTTATGATCAACATTACTACTAACTATGCAGGAAATAAACTAAGTAGTAATCTTGGAAAGCAGAAAAAAACCTTGTCAACATTTGCAGTCATAATTATGACTCAGGAAAATCCAAGAGAATTACCAAAAAGCTACATGAACAAATATAAGTAAAATAATACAGTTTGAAAGAAAATAAATACATCAATAAAAAAATTCAAAATCTTCTATGAAAAGTAGACCCCACTCATACTAGCAGTGAAAATTATAAAATAGTGTAATAAAGAGATGTTCACTGAAACTCAATGAAAGTGTATATATGATCTGAATAGAAGGATATTATAGTGCTGAGTGAGATAATAGATGAAACTATTAACTTTTCACAACTTAAGAAAATATCCAATAAAATTTGTTATGGAACTTGACAAAATGTTTCTAAAATTTATGCGCAAAAGAAAATGTAGAAAATATATAGAAAATTTTGATTAGAAGAAAAGAACGGTGTGGGGAATGGCTTGTCAGACCGATATTCTAGTATAACATTCTAGCATTGTGCAGAAATTAAATAAAAAATCAATGGAACAGAATAAATGATCTAGAAACAAACATGTTTTTATATGGAAATTGTGTATATGATAAAGGTGGCATTTCACATGATCAGGTTGGAGTTTTTAACAAGTGGTGTTTGGAAAATAGACCATGTATCTAGAAATTTTTATAGAAGTTAGATTTCTACCTCATACAAAGTAATTTCCAGGTGAATTAAGGAGCTAAATAAATGCAAAATAAGAACAGAAAACAATATGGGATAATAATTTTATAATTTGGAGGTGGGAAGTCTTTCTCATAAATCTGGAGTTGAAAATACTGGCAAAGTAAACCACATAAAACAAAAATTTCAGTAAGACAAAGACACCACGAATAAATTTACAAGATTAGCAAAAGATCAGGAAAAAATGCATATAATGAGTTCTTACCAGTTAATTGGAAAAGCCAAGTAATTCAATAGGGAAATTAAAATAGACAAGTCAAAGAAACACAAATGGCTAATAGACATAAGAAAAAAAATCACCAATCCATCTCATTAGCATTCAGGAAAGTCCTAATTAGCATGAGGTATCTTTTGTTGTTCATCATATTGGCAAAACATTTAAACATGTACTGCCCAAGATTGTTGAAGATGAAGGTCTATAGATTTTTGTATACAATGGTGGTGAAACTGTCAATTGGTATAGTCTTTAATTAGGGCAATTTGGCCATGTCTCATTAAAATTTAAAATGCACATACATTTATCATGGAAAATAACCCATTTCACAGAGATTCTAGCACTCTGTATACATGTTTTTTATTGGCAGTGCTGCAGAGGAGATCCAAATCACTAGGAACAACCTAGGAAAACCATGTTTCTGGATGGGGTCCATAAAGCACATTCATAAATATAGTTTTCAAGGTTTTATTACATCAAATGGTTACAACCATTTTACACAGTACTTGAAACTAGTACTGTGGCCTGACTCAAATGCTAACTTCCAAAAAATAAAGAATAAGGCGTAGGCTAGATTGTCTTACATTTTGTGGGTACTATCTTGAGCTGCCTAAAATCCTTTTGCCAGAGGAGGAAGTTGCTGGGTGTTGGAAAGCCTCATCTTCTTTTAGCTAAAAGGCACTTTGAGAAGTATGTTAAAACATTTATAGTTTCAGCTCGATTTAGTTAACTTATGTCCACGTTCTTTAATCCAGAAAGCCCATCTCCAACCATCACATTTAGACAAATACTCGCATGCAAAGAAAAGACATGACTGATAACTAGCATTGTTTAAAGTAGTCAAAAAAATTGGAAGCAACAAACTACTTAGAAAATGGTTAAATTACCTATATGTCCATATTAAGGAATGCTACATAGCAATTAAAAAGAATTATATACACACAGACACACACACTCGCACACATACACAATAATATGGAAAAATTTCCAAGACACATGCTTAGTAAAAAAGGCAACTTACAGAAAATATTGGGTTGTTGGAAAAGTAATGACTTTTTTTGTTGTTTTTCATTGCAAAAATTCGTCATGACTTTTCCGACAATCCCACTTTTATGAAAACAAAATGAAATCTTTATAGAAATGTGGTGTGTGTAAAAATGCTTATTGGAAAATACTAGAAATTACACAAACAGCTATCAGAAATTCCTCCTAGAGCACGCATGGGCTTCCACTTTTTATTAGTTCCCTGTTTTTTGTTTTTTTTTTAAAGTGCTTTCACAAAAGAAATAGTCATGTATTAATTTCTCAAAAAAGGTAAGTTTTGAAAATATTAATGTTTACATTTACTGATTGTGTATATATAGGATGCTTATTTTAATGCTTAACATTTATATATACCAGTATGTATTAGATATAGTCTGTTACTGTATATCAACCATAAGGAAATAATTGCAAGTGTTTGTTTACCTATATGGTATAAGTTTTAAATGTTGCAATGCTTTGAATTTAAAAAGATAGTTCAGTTTTCATTTGGATATACAGCAACATAGAGGTGCAGTCTAAGAATTCATTTTAGAAAAGACTATTCCAATTAGCAATTTAGTAAGTTTCATTATGGAAAGTCCCAGAGGCAAGCTCTGGCATTTAATTATTAGAAAAATAACACAACAGTGCTGCTCACAGAGTGAATCGATAAAAAACTAAATTTTCCTAATATAAAATAATCTTTACATTAAGCAAAAACACATGGAGCTAATTAGAGGAGGTATATTGTATAAATGTTTTTGAAACTGTACAGTATAAGAATATATGGTGTGATAATGATTGTGAAGCAAAGAGAAAAAGTCAGTGAGAATTCCTTCAGGTCTTTTAAAATTCACTTGTGAATCATAGTAAGACATGAATAATTTCACAAAATTTAGTAAGATTGTTTCCCTTTTCTGTCCTCTATGACTACCTATCTCAGGCTAATGCTATATTGTATATTTAAGTGTTATCACCATGCACACACATGAGATGATGGATGTATTAATTAACTTGATTGTGGAAATCATTTCATAATGTATACATACATCAAATCATCACATTGGTCACCTTAAATATCTACAATTTTATTGATCAATTATACTTCAATAAAGCTGGGAAAAATGGTCAAATCAATGAATGGAAGTCAGTCAAACCCAAGTATATATTTCACAAAGTACATAAAATAATGGCTTCAACAAATTGCCTGAGAAGACCAGGTGTCCACTGTACATTCCTGGGCCAGTCCTGTAACTTTTTACTGAGGTATTCCTTTTGCTGGTGTGCTAAGGGAAAAGCTCCCGTTAGAGTCAGTATAACCATAAGCTCGAGCAGAAAAGAAGTAAAACATAAATTATATTAAGAATCACATGAAGTTCACTTAAGTAAGGATGTGATTTGTATACCACGATCAGTATAGTCTATTTCTGTCATTTGATGTTTTCCTTCTATGAGAATGAGAAGATCCACCATGATTCTCTCTGTTGCTCACTGGACATAGCTGCCATGCTAAGGTCTCAATGGTGAATAGTACAAGAACAAATACACATTTTTGTACTGTTGTTTTCAATGAAACTCCAGTACTTGGGATTTTTGCAACATTCAAAGCAGCTCAAGTAGAAAAAAAAAGTTCAAACCAGTCACCAGATCCAAAATTAGCATTTTATTCAGAACGCTGGGGTCAGAGGTGTATCATTTATATTCTGGTACACAATACAGAGGCAAAGCTGTTGTCAGAACTCTCTCCAGTTTAAAAGCTTTTTTTTTTTTCTTCATTTTTTTTTTAAAAACACACACTTGGTAATGCCACCAGTGTCAGGCTACCCCTTTTCTTTTCTTTCCTTTTTTTTTTTTTTGGTACAAATTATGTAAAACATTTGTGCTAAGAACTTTTCTCCCTCCCCAAACAAAAAAAATAAAATAAAAAATAAAAAAAATTAAAAAATTAAAAATTGAGTATTCTAACTACAGCTCAACAATTGAATCAAATGTCACTTTGTAAATACTTTATCCATAACGAAAGATATAAACATGCAAAAAACCTGAATCCATTGTCCAAATAATACATACACATGTTTTGAAGTTTCTTCACTTCTCCATAGACTATGCCAATAAAACATTATGTACACATACCATTTTTACAGTGAAGTGGAAAAAATACAGTAAATAAAAAAGTGTACATGGATTAAGACCAAATGTGTCTAACATTCTAGTTTATGAAAAAATTCAAATTTTGCTACAAATCGGTGGTATGAAAACTCCCTTTATTTGCAACCAGCTGCGTAAGTTTTAAGATTTTAGTGAAAAAAAAAAAATCTAAAGTCTAAAGCTAGAAATAATGTACATTTTCCAATCTCATGGTCTCATCCCCCAAGATAATAAAATTGCTCCATGAGTTTTTGTTTGTTTGTTGAATTCTGTATTTTAATAAAAGCTAATGCCATGTAACAAAAGCGTGTTGAAGCATATCATGTTTTAACTTACTGCTCCCGCCACAAAATATTTTGTCTTTTACTTATCATTTCAGAAATCAGTACCATTAAAGCCTTAAACATAAAACTAATTCCAATCTGAAAAAGGTACAAAAAGGCACATAACATCCCAGTGCTTCTGTACTGTAAAATTCAAGTGTAACTGAGCTCAGTGTTTTTCCAAACAGTATTGGATCACTGATATTCCCGCTGAGCCCAAATTGGTTTGCAGCCTATGCCCAAGCCTCCAGCAAGCACTGTGCTAGTAGACTACAAAGTTAAAGCCTAGCTTCTGAATGCTTTTTGGGAATATCAGTTGAAATTGTTTGTACTTGTCCAAAAACCGAGTTCACCCTGAAGTTCAGTCATCACCTCCACCATACATGTCAGCGAGTTTCTTGAAGCGTGGCCCCCAGTCGTTCAGGTAGTCATAGTCCTGCTCGCCACCGCTACTTGAGGAATTAAGGGAGCTCAAGGACCCAGCGGTGGAGCCACTGCCTTCGTAGTCAAAGACTAAGAGGGAGTCATATGGTGGAGCTGTGGGGTCGTTGTCAGCAGCTTTAAGGCCCTACGGTTTGGAAAGACAAAGAAAGAACAAAGAGAGGGTTACAATGGGCAAATCCACAGGCAGATCCTAGTGGTCCCATGGCATCAAACACTGATTTGTAAGTTTATACCTACAGACCACAACATTTTCAACCCATGGAAATTGGGTTTATTATCACAATTCAAAGTTAGACAAAAACCAACTTATGTCTTTCTTCTGCCAAAAAAGACCCCCACAATGTCTAGCTCAGTAAGGTCCAGACATGCAACGGGAGGTGGTTGGAGAATGTGTTTAGCAGATGACAAACATGAATGGCCAACATCTTGAAACTGAGAAGGGAGAATCTTCAAGTCTGATAATGCATCTGTATAATAGTGAATCGGGCAAGACCGGTTTTGAGTGGGTAACTACTGGTGAAATAAGTTGCGTGAGATAATATAGAAGGCTATGAAATCGTGTGACATGCGGACCCTAATTTATCCAGGGTGAGAGTCAAAGGATTCTGACAATCAACAGCTTGAACAAAAATTATATGCAAGGCAGAGAGGCATGCATGAGTATCCTATGGTTCTGTCACTCTACAAACTTACAATCTAGCATAACAGGCATGACCATAGTATGAAATAAATGATAAAAGTCTAGGCAAACAATTTCAGGATGCTGAAAAAAGAAATTCAGACTAGCACTGAGATCTAGGAGTTCAAGGAGGAAGTGGCATTGTAGTTGACCTAAATTTGGAAGGATATCAAAGGAAGAATGAAGACAAGGCCAGGTGTGATTACAACACGAGGAAAGTTACTCATTAAATATCTTATGTTCTTAACAAAACACAGCGTGTGAAAATAATTTATAAATTGTGATTAGGTATTATTTTTTAAGAATACAGTGACTTCTACTTCCCACAGGCCCTAGAAAAGAGATGCTCTAATATCTATACTTAGTATAGATATTAGAAGAGGGGAGAAAATTCTGACAATCTAACATAATGTGTGTGTGTGTGTGTGTGTGTGTTTATGTGTATATATATTTTTTTAAATAAAAACCAATGAAATTATCTATAAACTTAAATTTTGTAAAAAGATGCATTTTAGTATATAATTCATATATCTGCAGTTAATTCATAATTATGCTCTACAAAGCTACTAAATGCTGGTGGGCTTATGGTGGTCTCACTTATTCAAGATATCATGGACTGTCCTACTTTAGATCAATCCTTCCAATTCACATATATTTTGTGAGGACATATATGTGATTTTTACTTTTTTAATCGGTATGTGCTCATCTGTTATTCTTTCAAGTTTACAGAGGGGAAAGGGAAAAAGAGCATAAAAATTATGGTTAATGTCATTATTTACAGTGGTGAAGAGTTTAGACCCTGGGTTGATACCTCTGCTCAACACGGTATTAGCTGTGAGACCTCAGCTAAATTAGAAAGTTTCTTTTTCTCATTTGCAACTGTAATAACATTAAGATCATTTTGAAGACAAAATGGAATAAAGGGACCCAAGGTCTCACCATTGTTAAAGCTCAATGAATATCAGTTAAAAAAACAAAACAAAAAAACAACCTTTTAAGTTTAGAGAAAAATTTCCTGCTTTGAGATTTGAAAAGAAAAATGTGAAGACATAATTTAAGAAACAAAATGGCAAGTACTTGACGTCAATCAAAAACAAGAGAGAAAAGTACATACAACCAGTTTCCCCATCCCCAAATCTGTCTTAACAACAATCCTAACCATGTAATTAAACACCACTTTTCCTCACATCAGGTTATATTGCTTATAACACAAAAATGCCTGTGAAAATAAAATAAAGCAAGTCTTCAGCAAACTACTTCAATATATAAAAACTGATTTTAGATACGATTTTCTTTATCGTATTTATAGAATAAACTACAGGGTAATTCTGTTGAGACTGAGGACCACAAACTACCATTTCTCAAAATTTGTAATTCCTTTCTGTGGTGGATTGTGTTACTGCCCTCTCCTCTGATTCACTCTCCTTTGCTTGTAGCAGGATCACATGCCCACACTACCACAAGCCGAGTTTACTTCCCCAGCCCGCCATCAGGCATGGCTATGGGACCAGCATCGGCCAATGAAATGTAGGCAGCAGTGTAGAGCAGTCTTTGACATGTCTAACATATTTCCACCAGATCCCAGTCCTTTCCCCACTGGCCAGGAGAACGGCCTTCCCAGAGGGGAGTTTTTCTTCTGCCTGGATCCTGAAATACAGAAGACCTCAGGAACCAAGCAGGCCTACAGGTAACACAACCTGAGAAAGTAACAGGCCTTTGTTATTGTTAAGCCAACAACACTTTGGCGTTGTTCGTTAGTAAAAGCCAAAGAGACAGCTTTATTCATTTAATTTGCACTTATTTATTCAATTCAAGACGTATTTGTTGAGTATCTCTAGTGTACTGTATTCCACTTAGGGCGGGGACACAGCTATTGATAAGCTAGGCTCCATGCCTGCCCTCCTGGAGTTTATAGTCGCATGTCAGCATGTACGCCACTTTCCTTTTCCCTGCAAAATCTAGCAACGGCAAATGTAGTCAATCAGTGATTGCTTTAGTTCAACACTGTCCAACTTGGGTCCACACAAGAACTGGACCCAAGAAAGATCTGAAGAAAATCAGGAAAAATCAAGAAAATTCCTGGGAAGTGAAATAGGCCTCTGAAGACAAACATGTTTTCACTATGACCTTAGGTAGAGCTGCTTTATAATACAGACAATGGAGGCTATGGCCAAGGTCACTGGGTTCAGGTCACCTGCTTTATCACAACTCAAATTCCAAGTGGAAATACATGCAGAGTCCTGTCCAACCCTTCAGGTGTCAGCACCAAACTGGAAATATGGAAGGTCTGAGACTAAAATTAGCTCTCAAGAGTCAATGTCAGCGCATCAAGTGTGTCTGGATTCAGTGGACAGAAAAAAGCAATGGCCTATGTTTACTGTGACTTAGGAATAAACACTAGAAACTGGTCTTCATGGTGTGTTAAAGGACCAGAGCCTCTTCATCAAGTATTCTCAGCCGCCTAATGCAGTGCCTTAAAACAAATATAACACTGTGGATAATCTACTCCCATTCTTATTACTCAGATTCTCAAAAATATTTGTTTCTTTAAAAAAAAAGGTGTTACCTTCTGCTTTAGATTTCTGATCATCTTGGTAGTTACTGAATTTATGTTTTATTTTTCTTAAAAAAGGTTAAGGCCATAAAGTCCATTAGAGATCCCTGTGCTATCTTAGAGCATCACACACTCTCACAGGTTCTAATAATTACAAAAGGGCAATAAACCACTGAACTTTTCAAGAATTCTTAGGCAAGTAATCTTTCTAGGCTGTAGTACTTTAGGTCCCTTCCACTTGGATAGCACTGATTTTTATCTGAGAATAAAATAGGACTCTTTTGTATAAAGCGTTATATAAATTCTGGGTGCTATATTGGTAATTCTAAAAAGATCCCAGTCAGGTCCTGAGAAGCTGACCGCGACAGACATGCCACCAGAGTGAAATCCAGGGCCACAGAACCATCAGGTACACACTTATGGACTCCTTTATTCTTAGGTGTGGACGCCTTTTCACATGATGTGTAACATACTGTTGCCAAATTTACAAACTGCCTGCATGTGTTCTCTCTCCCCACCAAAGCTCGACTAAATCTAGAGGAGTATGTGCTTGTTTCACCTTCCCCGGAGAGACAGATCTTGAACGCTGGATAAATCTGAACTATTTTCTGTAGTTTGAGGTGCCTCTGTAAAATGAAAGAGCTGTGGCTCTGGCTGGATTCTTGCTGGGCTTGTATTTATAGACTTCTGATCCTATGCTTTATGGGTGCAGACACGCTTTTATAGGGACTATAAAAGCCCACATTCTTTAGTGAAGGAACCCATGAGGGATGTAAGAGGAAAAAAGGGCCTATTGATTCCCTTACATTGTCCTCTATCGTGTCTCAAAGCCACTGCCTTAGTTCAGGTCCTCATTATGTCCTCCCCGGACCACAGCCAAAGCCTCTCTAACTGGTCTCCTGCCCTCAGGACCATTCCTGCTTCTTTCCTACAAACTACTATTGGTTTCTCTCTCACACACATTGTTTAATGTCATTCCCCCAAGTAAAACCCTCTGATTGCTCTCGGTCACTTATAGCAGTATCGCCCAAATAGAGGAGGAGTTCGGGGGGCGGGGGGGGGGCGGGGTATGGAAGATGATTTTTAATTGGTGCACGAGCACTTTAAAACAATTCCCTTTCTTAAAATTAAGTTAAAAGTTGATTAAAAGTTTAAGTAAATAATAGACGAAGTTTGTAGGCAGGGAAAAATCTAGAAGGTGTTACTCAAATACCTGATGTTTGGGCAACCCACAGGATAAAGTCAAAAGTCTTTAGAGGAGCATCAGTAAACTAGACTGTTCCCCACGTTTCCTGTTCCAGCTATTCTCAACTTCAGTGACGACAGCTCATTTATTCACCGAAATGCCTCAAACCTAAAAATGTCATGTGATTACGGACCGCCATGTTATGGGCGTATCTCCTGCTGGCTGAAACGTGATTCCCTTTGTTTGAAAAGTCCCTCTCATATTTTTCCATCTGATTAATATCCATCCATCTTTTAAAGCCTATTAAAAATGTCACTTGTGCTGCATGGATTTTTTTCCCCTCAGCCATGACTAGGAGTAATTCCTGTGGTCTTTTTGGCCTTTTTTTTGCCATGGTTTGGTTACACTAGATTGCAATCCCTTTCAGCAGAAGTTATTCGTATGAATATTCTGTGGTGTCAACACAGTGCTTGACATCCAACAAGCATTCTACAAGGTAACTTTGTACTGCTGTCCCGGGCTTAGTATTTTTTTACCTCAGCATCTTGTCCATATTTATATTTACTCCTTTCAGAAACAGGTAGGATCTAGGTTTAAAACAGGTGTGGACATAAAAGTATAACATGTTTACATTACAGTGGAATCCTGTGACTTGTCAACATCAACATTACTAAGTCCCTTTCTGGGAATTTCACTTTATTTAAAGCAATTTTTTTGGGGGGGTCAAATTGGGGGTGGGGAGAAGGAAAGATTTTGTTTTATTTACAACTAGAGGACAGTAGAAAGTTTTTACTCCTGAAAGGTAACTCGTAATAATAATGAATATGATACTGATAATAATTAAGAGGTTTTACTATGTGACAGGCATGTTATCAAGCACTTTAACAGGGTTATCTCATTTAGTCCTCACTGCAATCTTAAAAGGAAGTTCTATTATTATCTTCATTTTATAAATAAGAAAACTGGAAATCCAACAAGTTAAATCCATCTTGACCTTGTACAAAGTTAAGAGCTGTTAGGTGAGGCTACCAGATTTGAACCCAAACGCCCAATTCCTAATAAGAGGGGATGGAGATATTTTAAAGAAGGCAAATCGAATTTAATTAATGGGAGAAAAAGGCAAAAGTTTGAAATTTAATAGTTTCAAGTAAGTTATTCAAGAAGCGCCTTCCGTAAGTTTTTAAATGATATTAATCAAAAGCCAACCTTTTAACAGAAGTATGTCCTTGGTTTTTATACTTCTGAGGTAAAGAAATATGTAGGATTAGTAAAGTTATTAAAGGTATGCTAATATCTACTGTCAAGCTGAGATTAAATAACTTTGTTTCAACTTATCACCCTCTGAAGGTCATGTTCAAAAACTTCAAAATAGAGTGAAATTCTCAAGCTGAAATTCAAAAATGTGTGTGATTTGTTGTACTTTACCTACCATACTGGAAATGTTATCATTTTTGAGATATGCGGCAAAATTCATTTATTATTTAAATAAAAAAACTAGAAAATGTTCTCATGAGCTCACCTATTCCTTACAGCTATAAAAAACACTCCAATTATAATCTCCACTGTATTATTCTTACTTTGGAACATTTGGTACCATGTTAAATTAAATAAGACCTGGAAATAAAGAAATCTGTTTGCATTTTAAATGTATCTATAAAATGTGCTCCAGTTCTTTCTAGGTACCTTCAATTGTTGTAAAACTTCACATGTATTTACTGTTATCTGTCCAGCTATGGAAAGATACTGACCAAGTCTTAACGGGTCTCTTAGGTGGAAGAACTCTGTGGTGTGTCTGAATGTTATTTCTGACTTAGGCTTTTGGACAGTTTCAGCTCTCTGCATTTTCCCACAGAACTGACCATCACATCCCTGGGCCTTCTTTTTATTTGTTTTCTGTGACACTTTAACCTCCCTTGACTTTCTTCCTGTATCAAATGTAGGGCATTCCTGGGTATAGACGTTTGGTCCCCCTTCTCTTGTACATTTCTCTATTTTATAATCACATTCAATGTCATAGGTTCAATAGCCAATTGAGGAATGATTTCCAACTGAGATCTTTTTATCCATCCATGTACTCACCAAACCAATGTGTCCCACACTGTCCCCCAGGGACACACACCTCTTCCCCTGAACTATTGGAGGGCTCGGGATGGGGGGCAGAAGGGAACATTGGGGTAGGAGTTCTGAAGGGAGTTGAGTCTTGGGTAAGTTGGGAGGCCACTGGGTGGTGCCTGACCTATACTCTGTGTACCTGACCCTTCATGGTTTGGTAAAGACTTAATGAAAGAACTAACATCTAGAAAAAGAGTGTGGGGCATTCCCTACAGAAAGAACAGCAAGGGAACAGACACTGACATGGAAGCTGAGTTTGGGAACTACAAGTACAGGTCTCTGCTGTAGATCTGTAAGATGCAGGTTGGGGAAGGGCCTGAGATGAAACTGGAAAGCCACGTACCAGATCCAATGAGCCTCCTACACCTGGCAAAGTAAGGCTACAGGTATCAGAATGTCTGCCTGGTACAAAGACCATGCTAGCAGCCAAGTAGGCAGCACGCACAAACAGAATGTAGGTCTAATTTGTTTTCTTATCTAGGTATCATTCAGCAGTTACTTACACACAGTAGGTATTCAATAGTTGTTTGCTGAATGAATGATTCTAAATTAAGCTCAATATGATTTCACAATGAGCCATTTTTAACAAATGCAGGCAATCTTCAAATTGTGAGTTGATTATATTCTAGAAGTTAATCTGCAAGTCAGTTGTCTGGCACAAAGTTTTTCATGTAAATATTGACATGTGTTTGCTATGGTCTCGAGGCACTTTTTAGGCTCTGTACTTGGGCACTGTTTTTAGGGAAAAGAAATGCCAAATGGAAATTCCTACTGTAACTCTTTCTTCTGTGGCATTAGAAAGGCTGAGTCACTGAACCTTATTAACTAGATTGTTTCTTTACCTACTGAAGAAAATCCAATCCCAGTAAAAAAAAAGAATGAACACACACATAGACACAAACACATACATACAAACAAACACATAAAACACAGCTCAGATATCCTCATTTTCTGAGTGTAATCAGCACCAGTAGAGTGATAGGCCCTAGACTTGGGCCCCAGTGAATCCTGATAAATTGCACATGAGGTGGTGCTCACAGCTGCCTGCCCCACACACCTGCCACAGTACTTGGTTCCTTAAAACAACAAATCCTAAGGCAACATACTAGATGCTTAGGTTACATAAAAATGAACAAGAGATGGTTCCCATCCTGAAGGGAATGCACATGCTCCTGTGGGAAAGAGACATATTGACAGTTACACCCCAGTCGTGGAGGTTATGACAGAAGGGACTTCTGGGACCCTGCCCAGGAGTACCAAAGAAGGCTGCACAGAGAAGGGGCTGTCCGAACGGAGTCTGAGGACTCAGTGGGTGTCTCACTGATGGTCAAGAAGGTAGGGCTTTGCAGTTACCTTATAGTAAAAACTGTGATGCTTTTGAGGATCTATAAACAGTTCAGTGGGGCTGCCGCCCAAAGGGAATGTGGGGGGAAGAGGGCAGGAATCAGATTATACAGCCTTGTAAGGGCCACGTAGTGCTTGAAGTTTATCAACGAGATTGCAGCGTGTTATGGATGGGATGGACTCCCATGGGATCCTGCAACTTCAGGGACAGGCAGAAACAGTCAGTTAAGTATTTGTGGAATTATGCTGAAATTAGAATTCTTGCTTTTAAAAAGTTCAGTTCCTACACCTATGTTCAGAAGATTCACTACATCTTGAAACCTGACAACTACAAGAGTAATCAAACACTTTCCCATGATGACAAAAACCAAATTACAAGTAAAATCATCAGGCACTCTTACATATTCAAAAACATCTAGTCATATATAAAAATTCCTGCAAATTCCCTTAACCAGACCTGTATGTGATACACTGGAAATGTCAGGGCATATTTTTGTAGATAAAGGAGTGGTTCTCTATTGTTTTTGCCTTTCATCTGCTTTTAAATCATGTCTACTACAAATTAACCTATTATTACCTACTTAACAGAAGTGAATACCTATGTTCAGAAACAGCCTGTCTTTTAGGAATAGACAGTAATAAATAGTTGTGAAGAGAGATAAATATTCTAACTTTGTTTCAAAACTTTTTTTTTTATAAACTGTTAAGTGCATATAAAAACCCAAGGTAGATTGATTACATATACAGACTATACAACCATTTCAAGAAAACCCAGGAAATCAGAGTCTTATCAATATATGACTGAAAGTGATATATATGACAGATGCATTCCACTTTGTAATGCACTGAGACCAATTCTGATCTTGGAGATATGGAACAAGAGGCTATGACCAGAGAACAAACATGAGTCCTGTCATACATTTGCAATCAGCATCAATATGTATTGCTCTTTTATAAATAAAAATTCAAAAGGAGAACTGCAGTAAAACTATAAACATGATAAAAAAAGCAGCATAAATCATTTTACTTCAAAAAAAACTTTTAAGTATTAAATATAGCAGAATTCTTGGTTAGTAATGCACTAAATGCCATAATAATTTTGACAGTGAAAATCATATCTGTTATATTCAACACAGAATTAGCTGCCTCTCACAGAAGCTCTTAAAACTCCTCAACTAGACAAGTATTTAAATCACTTACATAATATTTAATTTAGCTGCTCTTCCTACTAATCTCATTTGATGGAACTCTTTAGTCATTGGTAGGCACTGAATTCTTGCCATTTGTGGATTCAAAATGTATAGTGTGAGGAAAATGAAAGTGAAAGATTATCACATTCATCAGTGCTGATAAATGAAATTAGAATACACTATTAATATTGTTAGTCTATTTATTATAATCTAGGGAAAAATCTTTTTGGAGATAGTGTGGCTAATACTGATAATGTACATAAACATCATTTACAAATGCAGAATATTAATTGATAGACCTCTTTTTTGGCTGACCAAAGAAAGCAATTAAATCTGTTCTCTACTACTGAAGTCACATTTGCTTACACATAAAGATAAAGTTAAGAAAAACAAGGGTGTTTTAATGAACTATATAGCTTTATTCCAAGCAATTTGTGGTCTACATAGAGCTAACATTTAGCATAAAATAAACACCCTTATAAAGAAAGTGAGTCTCTCTTTGTACCTCATTAATGAAATCCCCGATGTCCCCAGGGTGCGGAGCTGCAGATCGGACTGGGTACTGGGGCTCAGCGTGAATGGGTCTCTCATCCAGTCGTCGGATTCCTACAGGCTTGATGGCATCAGGTTCCACAGTATCAGGCTGCTGCAGCTGGCTCAAGTCATAGTCCTGCAAAAGAGAAACCCAAAATCCTATGGGAGATGTGCATAAAAGATGGAAAACTTTTGTGTTTGAACACATACCCAGAATGCATAGAAATGAGCGAAATTTAACATAATGGAAAAGTTGCCACTGTGAGTTCTTCATGTTATGATTAAATATTTCTTTCACACTGCTCTTTCTTCTGTGTTTTTCATCTCTACAGTCTGTGCTCCATCTGTTTTACAATGTTCCTCATCAGTTTCCAATGGAGAACAGCAGTGACACAAGGTCCTACTGTAAAGTGTCTAAAAAACTGACTAGAAAATATAGTTGTACCACAGAAGCAAAAGTAATAACTACAGGTTGATGGGGTTCAGGACACACTACCATGAAATATGGCAGCTGGCATATTAAACAGCTTAAGCTGATGGAAATTTTTTTTTAAATGGCAGAAACATGAAGGTCACTCTGACCTCTCCCTGCTTCACACTTCTTCCCTGAAAGGAGTCACAAAACTCGTGAAAAGTCACAAAACATGTGAAAGGGCCCCTCCTTGTACCAGGGGGAGGGAAGACATTCTTATCACCAGAGACAGGGAATTTGGGGCCAAGAAATCTGCACAAACAAACTCTGTCAAACTAACCCTAATTTTCCTAGTTACTTCTTCACCATTTACTTCCCCTAGTCAAACCCCTTCATCTTGTCAACTTCATATTTTTATTATTTCTTTGTCTAAAAGGTATAAAACACTTCCTGCTCTGGTCACGTCTTCGGGTCTTCATTCTTTTGGGAAGGTTCCCGTGTACATGCAGAAATACATATTTTAAAATGTGTATGCTTTTCTCCCGCTAAAGTCTTTGTTAATTTAACTTTCAGAGCCAGCCACGAGCCCTAAGAGGGTCGAGGAAACCTCTTTCCTTTTTCCTCCCTGACGATGTTTTAATACACACTTTAAAAAACCCGACGCGGGTATGTTTTCTTCTTCCTTGAAGGAAGGCTTTAGTTCATCACGGTTTCAAAGCCACTCTTCATTCCCCTCTCCCGTCAGGGGTCTAGTGTCAGCAAAAGATGGTTTGTGGGCCCCGTCTGACCCATTTCCTATTTTTCTAAAAGACTGGCTTTTGTATGTTTCAAGGGTTATTTAAAACAAAAATAACAACAAAGAAGAATGTGCCACAGAGACTGTATGGAGCCCACAAAGCCTTACTACATGGCCTTTTACGGAAAAAGTGTGCCAACCTCTGGCCCACGGAGCCGATTCCCCTCCAGTGCAGCCCCGTGGAACGGCTGAGAAACAGCCTGTCCGCTTTCAGACAGGCAGAGTGGAGCTTGTGAAGAGGAATGCTCTGGGAAGAGACTGGGCCCTCAGCACTGCTTTCAGCTTTCACCTCAGCCAGCAAGGCAGGCATGTATAAAGAAGCTGACTATCATGTGGAAATGCAGCAAAATTTTAGGTTTGGGCACATACTTTGTAGTTTTCAAACCCCTAAATTCTGGTGATATAAAAATGTCACATCCCCAGCTTAAGGAAAATTCTGCAATTTAATGTTGACATTTACACATTTTCTGGTACTCTTTATAATTCAGGCTTCGTCTTTATCAAAAACTAGTTTAAAACTGTTCACAGTATCTCTCTAGTGGTTTTGATTTATTTATTCAATGCTTGAATAGTTACCAGGTTCTGGCAAACTTATAGGTGCTTTACGTATGTTTGCTCATTTAATGCGCTGAACAACACTGTGTGATATTAAGTTTTATTATCTCCATTTGTGAGTCGAGGAAACTGAGTCTCAAATAACCCAAGTAACCAGTCCATGATCCCAGCTCTCCCTAAGATATGGAGACAGACTGACTGCAAATGTATGAGACTTCAAAGCCTAGCCCTTTGCACAGTCATTAGGAGAGTGAGTCAAGTCAGAGCTACACGGCTGGATTTAGCGAGAAATAAAGTAGTCGGATGAGTGTGGAGGGACAGGAATGTGAGGAATGATTAAAATAACAGAGGAGACAACGAAGAGAAAGGTCATCGACATTCACACCTGCTATGTACGCACCAGGCACTATACCAGCCTCTTGATAAGTGTCTTCTCACTAATAATGTTCTAACAAGCCTGTGAAGAATGTTTCAGTATCATTTTTTCAGAGGAGAAACAGACTCGGAGGGGTTAAGTACCTTGCCCAAGGTCACAAAGCCAGTCAGTGATTAGGATAGGAATCAAAACTAGGTATGCCTGACTTCAAAACGTTGATGAGAAATGCAACTCTGTGCTCCAGACAACATCCCCCTAACCAGCTCCTTACCAAGCGGTTTGGCTAACCTAAGTGGCGAAGGCACTGAGGAAAAGCCCCTCTCAGCAGTGCACAGGTAGTATGGGAGGCGAGGCAGGTACACAGAGTAGGATAAGCCAGTGTAGCATGTAAACTGGTATATTGCAAAGTTTAATATGTTCAGAGTGCGAAAACAGGCATTAGGTTTAAATCTTGGACACTACGTGGGCTAAGAAGAAAGGATCGCTCTGGAAGAATCGATAGCATGAACAAAGGAATGGAAATACTGTTTTCTATTGTCAGGATAGACTATTTCATATCATCCATAGAAATTGAGTGAAAACATCTTGATTTTGCACAAATGAGCACCATTTAAAATTTTCTAGAATTTATGAGTTATTTATAGAATTCGTTAGAGTAAAGGCATACAATGATATAACAGATGTGAAAGCCTTTGAAATGTTAAAATATTCTACAAAATAAAAAGAGAGATTTATTTAGAGAAGTTTGAATGCTTATATAGTAAGAAGTATGTTTTTCCAGGCCACGTTTAATTGCTTAACTAGCGAGTATAACAGAGTAGGGTAAACTGTGAATAAGTGTGCCTTCTGATAATTATCAGAGCTTTCTATAAAAAGGGGAAAACAGATTATAAGTATAATGATGAGAGTTCATAAATATTTTTATGCTGAGGAGTATAAAATGTTTTATTAGAAATCTGAATTACATGATATTAAGTAATTGAATCTTATGTTTAAGTGCTGCTTTTCACCTGGTGACATATTCACTGATAGTCCTTAGTATATTAACTAATAATTCAGGAGAAGAATATAGAGGAATTTCTTTGGCATAACTCCAGACAAATGACGTGAGCAGGCTTGGCTTATGCTCGTCCTTACCTGGAAAGGACCTGTCTATCCTGATTTCTCATATAGCTCCCAGTAAATCCAAAGGTGACAAACACAAATACATTTTGGTTGGTTAGCAGTGTTTTAAAATTTTTCTAGGAAGTTGCCAACATTTCACTTGAAAATAGGACGCTCTGGCAAAACAGAGCTTATCCTCTGACAGGACAATTTGTTAGAGCTGATAGGAGCTGTCTCCCTCGGACAACGGCAGCATTCCTACCTCCCTGGTTCACTTATGACAGTACAAATATAGCGGCATATTAATTTATAGGTTTTTTTGTCTTTCTTTCGATACCCTTTTTCTACTATCTTAAGACCCAGAGAGCAGGAATAGACTCAAAAATATCTGTGGTCCTGCTCAGTCTTTTCCACCATCAATACATCAGGCCCCTAGAAAGTGCTCTTCAAAAAATGTGTTGAGTAAAGTCTCAGTGATGGTCTTCATGCCAGATGTTCAAAAGAGCAACCAATTCAAGAAATGTGCCTTGGTTCACATTAAATGCCATAGCAGTAATCCACAATGGGGGGGGGGCAGGGAATTGAGACCCATGGTCCTGTTGCTGAGACTCATTGTCAGGGTGAGTCTCTCATAACGATGGAAATATGGCATGTTCTTCAGTTACACTGGTATTTAAAGAAGTGGGAGAAATTAACTGATTTTAGGAAGCTAGAAACTGGGTTAAAAACACATGGCTTACAGTTTCTTTGTGATGGTTTCTCTTTATCTATTTACACATACGGGATATAAAAATCTGATGGTGGTAGGAAGCGGGTGGGAGTGTGCTTCGGCCTCAGAAATGGACATTTTGGTTCACATCATCCTTCTTTGTGATATGGCAGAGGTCCTAACATGAGGGTCCAATTTGAAGCCGTTTGATAAAGGGTCACTCTCTGCAAACCTTCTAAATTACACATCTTTACAGTCCCATAATGCTTTACTTAAACACACAAATTACAACATGTAGGATGAGAATTATAAAGAGAATTACAGACACTAAAAACATTCTCTGGGTCACTGGGTTCATGGCCTTCTGAAGATTATAAAGTAAACAATCCAAAAAGAAATCTTTATTTGGTCCCTAAAACTCTATAGAGAAAAAGTGGATCTGAAAATTCTCTTTTGATAGTCAACATTTACAATGTTAATTTCCCAAAGAAATTTACTTTCAAGTGAAGGCCAAGAAAAATCTTGTTTTAAATAATGTTTGGAATACGTGTTATTTGGCAATGACCATTAGAAGTAGGCATGAAATTAGGGTTTTTAGATTAACATTGCAAGTAGTAGGAAACACTTTTTTTTGTCTATGATTGAAAATGTCTTCAGGGTGATATTCTGGGAGAGTTATTAAGAAGTTAGTCAGCAATAAAGGTCTGGTTCTTGCTTTTCTTGTTAAGTTTCACTAACTTGCAATGATTTATAATTGGTCCAGAAAATGATATCACAAATCTTTGTTAAGGTATTTAGTTATGTTTAAATAAAATAAAACGAAACAAAATAAAATAAAATGAAATGCTGCACTGGTATAAATTGAAATTCTCGAATCCCAGGCAAAAATTTCAGAAAGCTGTATTGCTGGTAGAATCTATAAAATTGTGCAATTAAGTCTGTTTTAGAGAGTGATGAAAACATTCATTTATAGCTCCACAAGTATTTAAGGAATGCCTACTGGGTGCCCAATGCCATTTTCAACTCTGAGAGTGGGAAAGAAGGAAACCAACCTTTACCTGGTGCCCATCATCTGTCAGGAATTACATGCTGGGCAACAGTAGGCTATTAGTGGTTAAGTTTTGGGGCAGTAAAATGCTACAGCAGATTTTCAACTGTGCGCAGGGGTGGAGGTTGGGATGGGG